CCCTAACGCATAACCAGCCTGTCCTGGAATGCATGGTGGGCAGCAAACCTACACTCTTGAATCAATGTTGAAAAACTTGGCCGCCTGCAGCGGAACGTCTAGGCATGTCCTAGGTGTGCCCCTAGGCAAGTATGTTCCTAGGCACATGCCCAACGCACTGCCCAGGCGCTCGTATTAAGGTGGGTGCCTAGGTGGCGCCTAGATGTGACTTGGCCAGAGGAAGAAAAGAGCCCTCGGTCAAGGTCAAAAAATTACTTCCCCCCCTAAACAGGGCAGAAAAAGGGTCTCTCTCTCTCTCTCTCTCTCTTTCATCTCGAGGGAGGGGGGCATTCTTAGCTCCCCAAGCTACATACTCTAGTGCCATCCCTTAAAAGAAAACAAAAAAGGAAGAGAGAGAGAAGTCCTCTTAAAAAGAGAAGAAGAAATGGTTAAGGCCTATATACATCGTCATGGCCCTTTTCTCTTGCTCACGGGCTCATGTGCTCTCTCTGTATATATAAGAAAAAGAAAAGAAAGAAGATGGCCTCCAACTATTCGATGTGAGGCCTCTCTCTCTCATGCAAAAACACATAGACCCATATGCTTTTGCCTATGCACTGTGTATGAGACAAGAAAAAAGACGATGAACTTTTAAGCATTCGATATAACCTCCCGCCCCCTTGGGAACAACTTAGGGTATTGAGAAATATGGGCGCCCAGGTATCTAGGAACCCGCCTAGGCGTTTAGAACCATTGATTGCCTAGGCGGCTGCCTCCACATTTTTTCAACATCGTCTTGTCCATATAACCTTGCTTCTTCAACTTGAATTTCGAATTTCCAGTCCCAAATCCCTTATATTCGTCACCCATGATCTGCACCAACTCTGATGCATGCAATTCGTCACCCATGATTTGCACCAACTTTGATGCATCCAGTTCAATGTTCTTGATTATGTCTATGTTTATTCCATGTTGCCCTTAAGGGCCTCATTTTTTGTTTTGTTATGTCGGGGTTTGGCCTCTTGATTCAATTTTTTGGTTCTGATCATCAAGTGACATTTCCTTTTGTAAACTTTAAATATTAGGTTTATAAATTTTAGGAAAAATTACATAAATATCCGTTTTAGTTTCTGTTATTACAAAAATACCTAAAACTTCTGGTTAGTATACATATGTTCGTTTTTTGAACTTCCTAACAATTTTTTTTTTAAAAAAAGACGAAACTACCCATTTTTGGCTTTTCAAAAACCGAAATGGGCCTGATTTTGGTTTTTGAAAACCGAAAATGGCCCTGTTCATTTAACACTGTGGCAACCTTTTGGTCTCTAAACTCTTTCTCTCTGCAAACCTTTGTGTCTCAAAACTTCCACTCTTTGCAATTCTCTCTCTCTCTCTCTTTTTCTTCTCTCTCATAAATTTAACCAATCCATAAGTAAACTTTCTGATAGATTTTCAGAGATAATTTTCGACATTAAAACTACATATTTCGGCACGATCTGGAGGTGAGATTCATGCCTTATACAAGCTGCACCCAAGTTCATCATATGGTTTTTAGTTTGAGAAGTGTAGGAATGAATGAGTGCTTCAGTTGAAGGTGTCTCTCATAGCTTAAACTGCTAAAAATGGTGAACAAAATCTCACGGTGGCTAATAAAAATGGGTTTCCTCAACTTTTCGGAAAAAAAGAGATTGCTCACACAAAAGTTAGAAAAACCCCAAAGAGTTTTGAATGGAGGAATTAAATAAGTGATTATACAAAGTTTAGAATGTTAGATAGAAACATGCAACCGAGATGGAGATGGTGATTCATGGGTGAAGCTCTCAGGAAGACCTTCAAGGCTCTGATCAGTTCATCAAATGCGAAATGCTCTCACTTCAAATCGAGACTTGCTCACTCTCTCTCTCTAAAGTTCAGCTTTCTCAGAGATACACAAGTACAAACCAGTTCTATGCAAAATTCAGATACTTAGACGATGCCCATAAAGTATTCAGTGAAATTATCGAAGCGGATATTTTCCAATGGACCCTGCTAATTAATGAGTACACACAGAGCAGTAGACCCATTGAAGCTTTATGGCTTTTTTCTTTGATGCTAAGAAATGGGGTGACCCTAAATTGCTTTACTTTTTGTTAGTACCTCAAAGGCATGCTCAAGCCTTGGAGACTTGGCCACTACTAAAGTGATCCATGGATTGGTTTCTCAATGTGGAAGTTTTGAGACGGGGCCATTTTCGGGGGTTTTTCAAAAACCAAAATCAGGCCCATTGCGGTTTTTAAAAAACCGAAAATGGGTAGTTTCGTCTTTTTTTAAAAAAAATTGTTATGAAGTTAAAAAATGGACATATGTGCAATAACATAAAGTTTTAGGTATTTTCGTAATATCGAAAACGTAAGCGGTTAGTTATGTAATTTTCCCTAAATTTTATTGCCTGTAAAATCTTGTTATAAAATGCTATTTTTACTTATCTTGAAATATGAATGGGCATCTATATTGCAGAGATATCATCTGGCATTACTCACCCAAAAAAAGATACGACCTAGCATTCTCAATAGCCAGGGCAGGCATATGGATACAATTTTCCTATCCAAGACAAACAAATGTACATATCATGATGCATAGTATACAGGATGAAGTTATGTTATGTAGAATGTTTGTAATAAACCCTAATAAATTACTTGTGTAAGTTTGGCTAAGTTTGTTGTTTGAAAAGAACTTGCTGATCTTTGTTTTGTTAAAACCAATGAGTGAAGTTTCCTCATCCGATGAAAGTTCCATGTACACGTTAGAAAATAGTGAGTTGATTTGATAGGCACCATCATTTTGCTGACTGGTAGTCTAGACAAGTCAAGTTTCTGAACATTCAGCTCCATAAATCAGCACCCATTGTCTACAAATTATACAAGTTCTTATTGTAATTCTTTAGTCAATTACGTTTTTGAATCTACTTTATTTGCACAACAAGCGGGTGGATTTACCTTTATTTTCACTTAAGTATGCGGATCAGCATTGTAAGGAGTATTATGATGTTTGGAAGTCTACCTTGTTTCTCTTTTTTGTTTTTTTGTTTTAACATTAACACCCGACTTTTATTAACTATAAACCAATGAAGTTACAAGGGGAATGAAATACATAAAGGTACATCACACGAACTTGGTAATCACCAATGAGGATTGAAAAGCACCTCCCTTGGCTAAAGAATCAGCTTCGGCATTTGCTTCACGGTAACAATGGAGTATTTCAACCTCAAGTGACTAAAGAATGTCACCAATTTCATGAAAAATGGAAGAGAGTCTCCAAGGAACTCGCGCTTCTCTTTTACACCATGCTATAATATTCGCTGATTCTCTTTCAATAACCTTTCCTCCATCAGCTTTTAAAAAGCAATTTAATTCCCTTCATGCTTCATTGACTGTTGTATACCACAAGGACCAGAGTAAGACTATAGGATCTTCCCAAGATAATATTTGATAAGGCCCCCAAAACCCGCCATTCCTGGATTTCCAAAGGAATTGCCATCAAAGTTGAGTTTATAGGTGTTTGAAGGAGGCGGAATCCCTATTGCATGCCGGATTGATTTATAATTATGAAGATTAACTACTTCAGAAGGATGCATTATTATAAAGCTTTTGGGAATACCTGCACAATCCTTATTAGTAGAAAGCCAATCTGTAGTCAATGTTAAGATATTTGATTTAAGGATAGATTCTTCTAACACAACTCCCTGAAGAACTCTCCTATTTCGCTCTTTCCAAATTCCCCAAAGCACGCTCACCCAAACTGAACTCCATAGAGCAGTACCTATCTTAGAGATCCCTAGTGTTATCCACTGTTCAAGAAGAGATCTAGTATTTCTTGGTATAGGTACGTGAAGGTTGAACAACTGACGAGCCCAGCTCCACAAATTCAAAGCAAATGGGCACTCCAAGAAAAGATGAGGAACACTTTCGTTGTCAGCTTTGCATAAAATACAGGCATTAACGATATTGAAGCCCCTTCTTCTTAGATTGTCAACTGTTGTCAGACATTCCTGACAAAGGATCCATAAGAACATCTGATTTTTTGTGGGGACATTGATCTTTCTAGTCATTTGCAGCCAGGGATCCGATGCACTGTGATGCTTTTGAAACAACAGGCAATAGGTTGATTTCACTGTGAGAGTCTACTTCATTGGGTTAAATGTATATATCCTTCAGCCTATTCAACAAGTTTTGATAGGCCATGAAAGAATTAGAGACCCTCCTGTACCTACAAGGTAAAGTCCAAACAATGCTAGTAAAAACACCCCCATTTACCACTTTTACAGTAGCCAAGGGGTTCAAAACTTTGGTAAAGACCTCTGTATATTGGAGTCTCAATGGCTCATCCCCCAACCATTTATCAAACCAGAAGAGGTTTTGATCACCATCACCAACTGCCTTCCTGATGTGGTTCAAATAAGTTTCTCTGCAGTGATCAATGCATCTCCATAAGAATGAAACATTAGATTTATTTCTTGGACTCTTAAGGAGTCACGTGAGGGTATAATGGAAACCAGAGAGTTAAAATGGAGAAACAACAAAATCTACCTTGTTTCTCCATTTTAACTCCCTGGTTTCCATGGCAAACTGTATGATTTCCAAAAGGAAATTTGATTTGTATTTTATTAAATGATTTCTTTTGGATGTCTTAGTTGAAATAGAGCCATTTATTTGAGATTCCAGTTCAGCAGGAAGTTGTATGCTTTATATTGAATTGGAAAGCTCTTCCTTTTCAAAATTTGGGCATTTTGAGATTAAGTGAATCTTACTTGTGTGAGCCTGTGTTGTTGTCTGTTGCACTGGTGTGAAAAGCACTTGATGCATTGATGTGTATGTGCATGTTACCCAATCAGGGCAAATTTTAAAGGTCAAGTTGGTTCCTTCTATTCTTGATCATTTAGAACTCAAATTTTATGCATGTACTTGTTTTGACTGGTTGAAATACCTGACTTTTCTTAACTACTTTTAGGATTCCCACATAGCTTTTTGTTTTGTTTTTTTCAGATTATGTCATGCAAGAGGTTTTGAGAGCTGGCTTTGTGGAACCTACTCCCATTCAAGCACAGGGCTGGCCAATGGCTCTAAAAGGTCGTGATCTCATTGGTATTGCTGAAACAGGGTCTGGAAAAACACTTGCCTATCTATTGCCTGCAATTGTGCATGTTAATGCTCAGCCATTTCTAGGTGCGTGTGTCCATTTTCTCTTGCAGATGCTTGGATGATCTCTATGACATGTGGTTCATGATTCATTCTTTTAGTGGTGTACTGAGCTATGGATCATTAAAGGATTGTTTTTTTTCTTCTGAATTTCAGCTCCTGGTGATGGCCCGATTGTTTTAGTTTTAGCTCCAACGCGTGAACTTGCGGTTCAGATACAACAAGAAGCCTCAAAGTTTGGAGCCTCATCCAAAATAAAAAATACATGCATATATGGAGGGGTTCCCAAGGGACCTCAGGTTCGTGATCTTCAAAAAGGTATTTGTTTCTTAAGTTATTGTTGAGACCAAAGTGGTGCAGCTAATGTGCTTTTGTTAAATATATTTTACAGTGTTTCCTCGTTCTTGTTTGAATTAGGTGTTGAGATTGTTATAGCCACACCTGGACGACTGATTGATATGCTTGAATCCCATGTTACAAATTTGCGGAGGGTAACCTACCTTGTATTGGATGAGGCTGATCGTATGCTGGACATGGGTTTTGAACCTCAGATCCGGAAAATTGTATCTCAGGTTAGTTATTTGAACACACACACACACACTCTCTCTCTCTCTTTCTTGTTCTCTCTCTACCTTCACTCTCCTCCCTCTCTCTCTCGCTTTTCAAGTTTTAGTCTATGGGTTCACGTTTCAGCTGTGCCATATATTTTTCCTTATGTACAAATGAATGCAATCTTTTCAGTTGTCAAACATATTCACTGTGATACTGCAAAGGGCCAATTTCTTAAGATGTTTGACATGCTAGAGTGATTCTAACAACTTCTTAAGCTGTTTGACTTACTTGGATGATTGCAACAAGAACTGTTACATGTGGCATTATTGTTAGATCTATCTAGTGAATGGTTTGTTCATCAATTACTCAAATCTATAGAGATAATTACATGGGTTTATACTTGGACTCTACCCTAGTTTCTGGGGAGAGTGAACTTGTAGCAGCCAAATAACATTCTTTGCAATATTCTGTTTGTTTGTATCAATAGCGAGTGGAATTGGCTTGGCCTGACTTTGCACTCTCGGTTAGGTGTCACTTAAATTCTGCACATCTTTGTCTTGGAGCTGGATATTTAGCTAATGCAATGATTTACACGAGTAAAAAACATCCTAGAGTGCTTTGTATGTTATGATTGAAATTAAAAGCCCATTACTTTGCAGTTTTACCATGGTCTACTGAAATTAACATTAATTAGCATTTCCTTTGAATAATTTTTGATGCTTGAAGGCATCTGCGAGGCCACTTAGAAGCAACATTTGGGGTGTGTTTGATACCGGGAACCTGGACGCTCTCTGGGAAGTGGAAGTTCTGAACTTTTGGAAGCTAGATATTTTGATGTCTGGAATTAACAAATATCATGCTTCATAACCTGTCTGGAATTCTAGAAAGTCTGTGAACATGTGTTTGATTGGACTCGGGATTTTGGAAACCTAGAGATCTGAAAATTAGCCAGTTTAAACCGCTCATTGAAGTTTTTATCATGATAGGTTGACATTTGTTCAATGACAGATTTTAAAATCAAAGATTATTCAATGTATGGTCTAGATCGCATAGAAAAGGAAACAATATGGTTGTAGGTCACCACAGAATAGATGGTTGAGAGCGTGTCTAATTATCTTAATTTTAATTTTTTTCTTTATATTGGATTGGGCTAAAATTTTAGGCATCCATACTTCTCACCCTCATTCAACTTCAAGAAGTAAAGAAAAAATGTTTCAAAAAATAAATTGGCCCCAAAGTGCCCTTTAAACTTTGAAGGGTATTTTGGTCATTTAATTTGATTGGGTTATTTTTTAAATCGTTTGCATATGGCATCGAATGAGTTGCATACATGCTAAAAAATTCCCCTCAATCTGATATGGGGAAAAAAAGAAACATGGAGGAATATAAGGTGGGCACTTTGAAAACTATTATATAGTCCACATTGTAGTTCCCTTAAAAGGCTATCAATCTCAACATTGGATCGTTGATAACATGTCTCTATATTTGAATTTTGTCTTTTTTTATGTAAATGGTAGTGAGCTGAAATTTGGGGCGTCCATTCTTCTGACCCGCATGCACCTTCAAAAAGTATGAAATAAATACTTTGAAGAAGTAAATGAGCAAAATACCCTGAAACTTTGTGGGGGTATTGTGGTTATTTTAATTTGCTTGAATCATTTCTATATTTGTTGAAATATGTGCCCTGATAAGGCACACAAACTCTCGAAAATTTTACATCTGAGTTTAATAAAAATGTATAGGAAACAAACTTGAAAATGATGCTGCAGTCCATTAGCCATTCGAAGGTATAGAACTAATGATATCCACTTTTTGTAGAAATCAGAAGTTCCGTACGGGCTTTCTAATGTTACACATCTTGTTATCAAACATGGAATGCAGAAACCTGAAATTTCTGTTTCCTAGAGCGAGAAGCTATAGAAACGAAATGTGTCGTAAGTGACTGATAAGGGTGAAGTAGGGTATAACTTCATGGAAATTTGAATTTTGGGGCCTTGGGTGGTGACAAATCAAGGAGTTTATTGCTTTGTAACTTTAGTGAATATGCCATGAGATGTATGATTTCTAGTCATCCAGATGATAGTAGTTGGCGATCTTTTGGTGTTATTCATGGATAAACAGATTAGGTCTACATCTAGTTTTGACAGGAGCCTGGTTCTACAGATGAAGATGGGACAAGGGATAGTCCAGGAAATATTTGATAGAGATATCTTGAGTAACAGGTTGGGTAAAGGGGCATGATTAATGTTGGAGAGGAGGATAACAGTAGGGGAAGTTTTTCTTAGTACATACAGGACCATATGAAAATTTCAGGTACTCAATAGGATAAGGAGATGGGTGGCAAGGGGGGCTGAGTTTTTGAGACTGGGGATATAAGTGAGCAGGGACATATTCTTGATGTAAGAAAGGATAATGAAGAGGAAAGCTGTAGAGAGGCTAGATGGTATTTTTTGGCTACAATTGAGGTTTTAGGACTAGGAGAGCTTATTGGGAGTGTGGGCGCAATGACCAGTTGTCACAGGGTGCAACTCTTTTAATATTTTTCAGCATCATAGTCGGCACCTTTTAGTAATGCTTCAGTAACTCCCTGGTGTTACATGTCCCAGTCCCGAAATTTTGACACAAGAAACCAGTATACGGAAACACAAAAGAAAAACAAACCTTGGCCCATTAGAAGCTGCTAGCACATTCACAAAGAGGCAGTCCAAAAACAACAAAATCTGTTGATAAAACAGCAAACCAAATTCGCCAGGGTCACCCCATAATACTTTGTACACCCCCATTCAATCTCCCCAGTGGATGGCACACCCTCTGGACTGTAAGTTCCCTTCCTCCACTAGGTTTTTGGTTAAAAAATTGCAAGCGAGATATTCTATGTTGCAAGCCCTTCTTCCCCTTTGGATCTCTCAGACAAAGCTGATTGGAATAACTCTCAATGTTGTTACACAACTTCCATGTGCATGCCTCGTCTTCTTTTGCTCTCTCTCTCACCAAAATCCTTGTGGAAAAACCCTTACCTCTTTGTTTTGCGTGAAGAAAGCAATTATGCAGTTGCAGTTTGAAGGCCCTCTTCCTCTTTCCGTTTGGTCTCTCAGACAAGGGGTTGGAAGAAAAGCCTAGGCCACTCCCACTCAACCATCCACCCCTTTCTCTCTCTGTTTTCTTCACAACTCAAAACCCTCCTAGACATTGGGTACCCCTCTCCATTTCTCTTTGAAGTCCACGTGAAATCAAAGCGTAAGGCCCTCCAACTGATGCCTAGAGAGATCCTAATGAAAAACTCTATGTCTCACATAAGTGGCGGGTACCCTATCTATAGAGCAGTCTAGAGATAAAATGAATATAAGGGGAACTTGCCTTCTAATTCTAATGGAAGATTCATAGTGTGTGATGGCTATCTTAGCGATCTACCCTTGGCCAACCATCATGGATCAAGGGTAGATCTTCACAATTATCCATAGGAGGATTCTAATTCCACTTTTCTTATTCTATGTGGAGCTAGGAATGGACTTAAGGCATAGGTGGTTAGGGTGGTGAGTGTCACAACATGACGCCTTGAGTTCTAGGAATGAACTAAAGGCATAGGTGGTTAGGGTGGTGATTGTCATAACATGACGTCTTGAGTTCCATTTGAAACATGGGAAGGGGACCCCTTCCTTACTGATCTACCAAAAAAAAAAAAAACAAATATCTGTGTGGAGTCCAATATAACCTTCCTAGGAAATTTCCACTTCTAATTGGATTCTCATAGCGAACTCCAACTTGAGATGGATCTCCTTCCAATATTCTAATTCTAACCACCTTGGATTTCCAAAATATTTTGAACCACTTAACCACTTTAGGACTCTTTTGGTTTCAAAAACTGTTTAGCTTGCAATCCAGGTACACATGCACCCCATAGGAAAACTAGTGGAACCCACAACACAAGTTTGACATTTTGACCACTCACATGGCATCCATGGCCTGTGGGTCGATGTGGATGAAACGGTCAAACCCATGTGTCAACGTGAGCACCAAACATGTCCATCAATGGGCCCCACAGGTCCCCCTAAATCTCCTACAAGATTTTTCCCTCTAAACAGTTATTGAATTTCAATAAAGTACCTGTATAAATAAAAGTAATATTTCAAAATAGCATTTGTTTAAATACCAAAGATACTACATAATATTTGAGTGCTTGAATGGAGAAAATAAAAACATTTTATCTTCATTTGAAAACCCTCGAAGCCCCTCTATAGAAACGTTAGAAGAGTGTGCTAGCACTGAAAATAGATCCCCTCTAGGTGCTCTTTAACCGCCCTATGATTGCATTATAGACCTCAAACCATCCCAACACTATGAACCACATGTATCCCATGCAATGGCCTCATGATTGGCCTATCAAAGCTTGCCAAGGCCTAGAAGTGCCACCAATAGCCATCAATTCTAGGTGCCTTCATGGAGGATAAGTTTAGGGTCCAATACATAGATCAGCTACTGCTAGGAGTGTCCATGTTTCCTCCTTGCATGTGGAGTCTCTCTTTGGCACATGCATTTTGCCGATATATCACCGGATCAAATAAAGGTGACTAGCAGCTCACATGATGGGCACAAGTAGGTTAAACTCATATTACTTGTTTCATTCATGTTTACCCAAATCTCTCACAGATGTTTGTGATTCCAATTCGGCGATTCCGATAAGGAATCTTAACGGAACTCGTTTCTATGAAGTCTGGAATCTTGATTCCTTATTTTAGGAATTTTAATTCCAACATTTATAGAATCTCGTTTCCAATATTTATTGATTATTGATTTTGTTAACTTACTGAAAAAAAAAAATTATCAATTCATGATTCCGCAATTGGTGAATCACGATTCTGTAATTGTTGAAACTGCTTTGTACATATAATAATACTCCATTCGATTGTTTTCGAATCTAGATTCCTGAACAAGTATTGGGTTTCGCCAGTGTTTCAAAAAGCGCTAGGCGGCTCCTAGGCGGTCGGGGGGGTCCAGGCTGCCCAGCACCTAGGCGGGCACCTAGAACCTGGGCGTCTCAGTAGAAATTTTTTTTGTTTTGGGGTTTTCTCTCTCTAAAATAGCCTCTAATGGGTTCTAGGTTTCAAATGAACCTAAAACCCACAGTTTTGCCCTTTAGTATTAAAAAATGGTCCAAAAATACCCTCAAGGAGCCGCATATCCGTCCCTAGGCGGGGCGCAGCCTAGGCGAGTTCAGGTGGGCGCCTAGGCGGGTTCCCGAGCGCCTAGGCGGGCACCCAGGGATATCTGCCTAGTTTGGCCTCCTAGGCTTGGGTGATGAGCCCAAGCCTTCTGGCCCGCCTCGGCAGCCGCCCAGGCGCTGGGTGGTCCGCTTTTTAAAATAATGGGTTTCATGGATGCAAGAGACTACGAACTAGACAAACATCAAATCGTGTTTTGACCCTATAGAACCTTGATATATATATATATATATATATTTTTAATCATAATACCACAAAATCAAATGGTAATATTCTAGGTGCATAAATATGTGACTTATAAGATTCCTCAAATCAATCATCTCGACCTCAAGATGTATGGACATGTGAAAAATTGGATTTCAAGTCTTGGAGATAGTGCATTTTGTAATGCCTTATCTTGACTGTCAATTTTCAAGTGTTCATAGATCTACTTGATCTACACTATCCTTGAAGCTTTAAATTTTATAATTAGAGATGAGAATAAATTTTGAGGCCATCACAAAGATTTCCAATACTGAAACGACATCTTTGGACATTACTTTGATTGTTTAGGGCCTCAACCTTATACAAACCACAACCTTATTCATATTTGTATATAGTTGTAATATTATCATATACACATGATTATCACGTAGATAGAAAGATATCAAGTAGTTGTCCACCATATAATATTTATATGTTTATAGGTTTCTTGTGAATAATACTAATTATTATTAGTTTCTAAGATTAATTCTCATCAAATCTCTAAATTTCCCTAGCTTATCGACATCCATTATATCTTTCCATCAATTTTCAAATCTCCATTATCCCTAATCTCCATAGAGTTTGTCTAACCATATCCTAAAAGATGAGATGTGATTTAAAGTTATCTATTTTAGGAAGTTGCATATCTCTTCTATCCCAAGAGAACCTATTTACCCTATACCATGATCTGAACTATTTATCTTTAAAGGTTGCTTGCCCTTCAACCTCTCCAATGATAGGGTCCCCTTTTATTCTTGTCACATGAGACCCCCGTTAACTGTGGCTTAATAATATGGTATAGACACATTTCATTATTTTTTCATATCTTGTTTTTATAATATTCATTTCTTATTCGTTTTGTTTGAAACAAAAAGCTGCTCTCTTTCTTTTTGATTGATGAGTGTTGAATGCCAGCCCACACTCAGATTCTAAACTGATTAAGAGCTCAAAACCACTGGGCTATAGGTGCTATACAAAGTTTTTGCAGCAACTCTTGGAATGGTTTTCTATTCAATTATTTTGCAAATTTTCTTTTGCATGCATGTCTGTGTTGAATTCAGAAGTTTGCATGTTGGACCCTTAGTCTTCACCTTCATGGAGTACATATTATCGTTCAAATGTGGGCCAAATATGGTTTGCCGTAAGACTCAATTATGGTTTGTTGTAAGATCCGTTATGTGCTTCCTTATACTTCAGGCACACAAGGTCAAAATGTAAGGGAGTCCCTAATTGCAGTTTGGAATATGTGATGCTGATTGTTACTGTGTGTATTCCTTGTTTCACTTGAAATTCGAATTGGCTGGCTGAGGTGCCCAAAATTGTCACTAAAAACCTCTATCTTGTCTTAAAATGTTTCCTATTAATTGCCATCATTATCTAGTGTCCCTTTTAATTTAGGTTACCAATGGGTTTCTTTAAGCCTGAGATGGATATGCATTCTTAGGATCTTTTATGTTGTAGATACGTCCGGATCGGCAGACTCTTTACTGGAGTGCAACTTGGCCCAAGGAGGTTGAACAACTCGCCAGACAGTTCCTTTACAACGCCTACAAGGTAACACCACTTATTATAGCTGAAACTTGGAGAAAATACCATCTGGATTACAAAGTGATGGTAATATTGGCTTTTGGATTTTTACAGGTAGTCATCGGTTCTATAGACTTGAAGGCTAACCATGCAATACGCCAGCATGTAGAAATCGTTTCGGAAAACCAGAAATATAACAAGTACAACTCATTGCTTTGATTTGCTTCCCTTTCTCCCTTAGATCCAGACTCCTTATAACCATATTTCTTTTTTGATTTTTACTGATCGCCATATTCTTTTTCTTTGTGCTAGGCTTGTAAAGCTGCTTGAGGATATCATGGATGGGAGCCGAATATTGATTTTCATTGATACTAAGAAAGGATGTGACCAGGTCACAAGGCAGCTTCGGATGGATGGGTGGCCTGCACTCTCAATCCATGGAGATAAAAGCCAAGCAGAAAGAGATTGGGTTCTTTCAGAATTCAAGGCTGGCAAGAGCCCAATTATGACAGCTACTGATGTTGCTGCTCGTGGCTTAGGTAAGTACCGCCAATACACTCCATGCTGACAGAATAGCAAGTAGTTGAGCTGAGTGAGAGGGATAGTAGTCCATGTACAAATATTTTCAGAGAGAGAGAGATAGTAGTCCATGTACAAATATTTTCAGAGAGAGAGAGAGTAGTCCATGTACAAATATTTTCAGAGAGAGAGAGTAGTCCATGTACAAATATTTTCAGAGAGAGAGAGATAGTAGTCCATGTACAAATATTTTCAGAGAGAGAGAGAGAGACACACACACACACACACGCTCGTAGGCTAGTAGTTCAAGTACTAATTTTACTAATGTTTCTCTCGCCTACACTAATGGCATGGTTGCAGATGTGAAGGATGTGAAGTATGTCATAAACTACGATTTCCCTGGATCTCTTGAGGATTATGTGCACAGAATTGGCCGAACTGGTAGAGCTGGGGCCAAGGGTACTGCTTATACATTCTTCACTGCTGCAAATGGAAGGTTTGCAAAGGAGCTAATTAGTATCCTTCAGGAAGCTGGTCAAAAAGTCAGTCCCGAGCTGGCTGCCATGGGTCGGGGTGCTCCTCCACCTCCTGCACCAGGTCTGGGTCCTGGCAACTCATTACATATTTTTTTTTTTTGTTTTTTAAGGTATATTATTCTTTAGTATTCTATCTGACAATTGACATATGTGATCATAAATTCATAAGGGTCATCCCTTTTCGACTAATCAATGAATGGGTTGGACAGTGATAGATGGAGAGTGGAACAGTCGAATGAATTAGTGTCATGGTTGGGTCCCTCTCTTTCACTACGCAGCCCATTTATTGTGCAGTGGATGACCCCTTTGACCACATATTTCATGTGTATGTTTGGATCATATTATTCTGTTTCCTTGTTTCAAAGGTTTTCTTTCAAGGATTTTGGAATTGGAAGGATATTATAATTCACTATTGAGGGCCATAGTCTATTGGGTAATTGCTGTAATGTAAAATGGACAGTAATGGAGAGAGCGAAATCATCCTTTGGCTTCATGTGCCGTTCTGGTGGCTCCTTTTCTTCATCCCATTCCATTTTATTGGATGGTGAAGACCCAACAGACTTTGATTACACCATAGTTCATTGGGGTTTTTTTTTTTTGACAAAGCACCATAGTCCATTGGATTGTAGTATATACTCTTCCTTTTGGCAATTGGAGTGGTTTTGTTCAGATTGTAGTATATACTCTTCCTTTCGGCAATTGGAGTGGTTTTGTTCAGCTGGCTGCTTCTGATTAGGTCATGGAGGTTTTCGTGATCGTGGGAAAGGTTTCGGAGGTCGTTCGTGGAGCTGATGAAGATAGAAGGCCAAAGGGATTGTGCATTTCTGGTACCCAAAACAGGATAAACTTAGGTAACCTGCAGCAAACAATTATGGCATTTCTCTTGTTTTGTTGGTCACCACCACTGGCTCCAATTTCAGTTATTTCAAGGTGGTGTTCAGACGCCATAGGTTTTTGCTCGGGTGCATTGTAAGATAAAGAATTCCTCTGTAAGAATGCCCTTTTTGGCATGGTGAAAGCAAAGAAACGAGTTATATTCAGGTTATCTTATTGAGAAGGCTCCCATGATCATACCCTTGTAATCTACTGATTTGGGACTAGTTGTTTGCTACTTGATATAACCATTTATGCGCTTCCAAGAAAGTTCTTGAGAATTACTGTTGTTCAAGAGAAGAGGCCACTTTTTATTTCATGGCTTGAAGAGAGGGCTCCGCATTGGTCTTTATCTGGGAAGCTATACATGGTTGCTTGCTTCCCATAATGGAAACAAATTACTCCTTCCATGTTTTTATTGTACTCTTGCTCGTGCATGTGTGTGTATTAGAGAGAGGGAGAGAGGGGGCGGGAGTAGGCGTGAGAAATGAATCGATCCGGATCCAAAATCTGGATTTTGGATCTTATTCGGATAGGGGTATGGCACAAGATCCGAAATCCAGATCTGGATCCAACCCAAATCCAGATCTGGATCCAATTCGGTTTTTTTTAGTAGTAAATTTTCTTATATATATATATATATATATTTTAAAATATTATATATATAATTAAGATCTGATAATACTATTTGGATCCGGATCCGTATACGGATTTGGATATCCAAAATGCAATTTGAAGTTGGATCCAACCAGATTTGATACATAGTATTTAGATCTGGATCCATATTTGATCAGGCCCAGGTCCCGATCCGACCCGTTCTCACCCCTAAGGGGAGGAGGGGGAGCTGTGCTTCTAGGGGCTAGGGTTTATGGTGAGCTTTACAATGCCTAGGTTCAATTTCCATCTAACTTGCCCCTGTTCATGAGAGAATCATGGGTTTATTTTCATCCAAAACAAAGTTACCATGCCTCGAAAATATACTCCAGGGTGATATGCATAATTTTCCCTTTAATGAATGCATGGATTTGAGAGAGAAATGAGAGCGAGGATCTATAAAGAGAGGTGAATTCAGGGAAAAAATTAGTCTTAGATAAGGATAAATAAATGACCATATGTATCATTTTTTTTTATACTCGGTTCTTATCATCATCATCATCAAAGTTTATCCCGATTATTTGGGGGTTTCATGTGAAAGTGTTTTAAAAAAAGGAAAATGTTTATATAGAGCCGAGGCTCTAAACAATCAAATTAGAGCCCCACCTCAAAATTTTTACCAGAAGAGGTTGTTTTGATGTCCAAATATCTTCAAATTGATCATCTCGACATTAAGCATGGACATGAAAATAAATGGATTTCAAGTTTTGGAAATAGTACATCTTGTAATGTATTTTTGGACCATCAATTTTCAAGATTTTCAAGTTTTCATAGATTTGTTCGATCTATACTATTTTTGAAGCTTTAAATTTTATAATTAAAAATGAAAATATATTTAAAGCTATCACAAAGGTTTTCAATATTGAAACAATATTTCTTGATAATATTTGAAGGTGCAATTTACTTTGATTGTTTAGAGCCTTGGCTCCATACAAACCGCACCTTTTAAAAAATAGATCGGTGGGGTGGATCATCCGCCCACTAATCTTGTCCGGATCCAAATCGGCCCAAAAAAATATAAAATGTATACATTTCTAGTCACTCAGTACGGCACGGTGGTTAGAGTGTCTTTTTGCTTTCCAATGGAGGTTTGATTTAGATCCCATCACAATTCCTTTTTTTATCAATAAAAGAAACGCTTATTGAAAATAAAATTCGAGGTACAAAGTAGTAATATTTTAAGGAAAAAGTTTATGTAAGGTTGCAACTTATGCCCTTAAAAATTTTATCGGAAAAGGTTGTTTTAATGTAAAAAAACCCTTTGATCGATGATCTCGACGTCGAGATGTATTACTATGAAAAATACAAAGATTTTGAGTCTCAAAAATAGTGTATCTTACAATATATTATCTAGACCGTCTATTTTCAAGCTTTTCATATGTTTATAGAGCTACTTGATTTTGACCATTTTTGAAGTTTAAAATTTTATAATTAGATATAAAAATAGATTTTTAAATAATCCTAAAAATATTTTACATCAAAATTATATGTTATAGTAAAATTTGAAGGTGCGCTTCAATTGGATTGTTGAAAGTTGCAACCTCATGGAAACCACACCAATATTTTAAAGGTCGAAGAGTGCTGGGCTGGGTATTTAAGCCGAGCATTAAGTGCCCCTCAGCACTAGCCGAGTAAGCCCTTTAGCTTATATGATATAATAGTCACCATCACATATATTTATAAAGGAAAAAGTTTACATAAGGATGTTACTTTTTTTTTTACATAGATTTTATTACTAAGTAGGAAAAGAGATTACATCATTTTAAACAACAAGAAAAGGTAAAAGAGCCTCACCTTTTGGCAAGGAATCCGCTAAAGAATTAGCTTTCCTAAACACATGGACGAAGGAAACATAGATTGTTTCAACTAACTAAATCCATCACTTGTAGCCAGAAGCCGCGCAATTCCCAAGGGACTCTTTGTTCCTTATTACACCATTTAATAGTATTTAAGGAATCCCCTTCACAAATACAAGATCTACCTGGAAGTTTATCAGCCAGAATTTTAACCCCACACAACAAAGCACTTAGCTCTGCATAATTGGTTGTTTTAACTCCAATCGGGCAAGAATCACGCAACACCCCACCAATTCCTGCAACACCTGGATTCCCCAAAGAACTGACATCAAAGTTTAACTTAAAACACTCACCAATAGGCGCTATCCAAAAACTTCTCGATCTTATACTAGGCCTCCCAAGCAAGAATATACTAGTAAGTTTAGCCATGACATCAACCTTGCTAATATTCCTCACCTCCTTATTAACAGAAATCGAAACCCAAATAGAGAGTTTTATATTGTTTAATAAAACTTAAAGAGGCAATGATTTCCCGTCAAAGGTCCGTCTTTTTCTCTCTTTCCACACTTCCCAAAGAATAACACCCTTTGCTATCTGCCAAATAATTTTTCCCGTCTTAAGCAAATGAGGAATGGATAATTGAGAAACTAAGCCTGCCACAGAAGAAGGAAGTATCGAAGAAATCCCAACCAAATAAAAAAACCAAAACCAAATTCTCACCGTAAAGGAACAATGAATAAACATGTGAGCACTTGTTTCCTCATCTGCTTTACAAAGGAGGCATGCATTGGGTAAATTTTTCCCCTTTTGATAAGATTGTCAGTAGTGAGAACTTTTTCAAAGTTGCCAACTAAATAAAGACTTGAACTTTATGAGGAACATGCCACTTCCATACCGTAGCAACCATGGGGCAAGAGTCTCTCCACCGATCATGAAAAAGAAGGTTGTAGCACGATTTAACAGAGAAAATACCATCATGTTCAATCTCCCAAATCACCTCATCCATTGCATTACAAGGAACATAAACCCCACTCAGCAACTCCATTAGAGCACACCACTGCGAAAGGACAACATCACTCAACCGACTATACGCAAGTGTAATATTCCAGGAAATTAAATTGCCCCTTCGATCTATAGCCTCACAAACAGTCAAATCTGGTTGGGTAACAATCCGAAATAAATCTGGATACGCCAATATTAGAGAATACTTACCCAGCTATTTATGATGGCAAACAAAAACTTTTCTCCCATCCCCTAAGTTCCATTTGAAGTAGCCAGACACTATTAGTCTACAATTATAAACTGCCTTCCACATATGCGAAATTACCTCTTCCATCCCCAAGCCACATATTTTCTCTCTCTACCCCATATTTGGAAATAAGCACTCTATACCATAGTTGGTCTTTAAAAAGAAGGCCACGCCACCACCACTTACACAGTAAGGCATGGTTTACCAACGTAATCTTTCTAATGCCAAATCCACCTTCCTTCTTTGGAGAACAAACTCCATCTCCTTTAATAAATGAAACTTCCTATTCTCATCAGATGAGACCCAAAGGAAATCCCGCATCATTTTCTCCAATCTCTTAGCAACCGAAGCAGGCATATGAATCAAGGACATTTGGTACACCGGTAGATTAGTTAAGCAAGTTCGCAGTAAGGTAACCCTACCTTCTAAGGATAAGTATTTGTGCTTCCAAAGTGTCAATCTACCTTGCACTCTTTCAAGCACAATATCCCAAACTGTAATAGTGAGCCTCGAATCCGAAATAGGGAGCCCCAGATATAAGATAGGGAATGAGCCAACCTTACACCCCAACAAAGTGGCCAAATCTTCTATCAACTCCCCCTCACAATTAATCCTAACAAGTGACGATTTGTGAAAATTAACTTTAAGACCCAAAGTCACTTCACAAATCTCCAAAACTTTAGCAATATTAGAGATATGAGCAGATTCCGCATCACAGAATATCAGAGTATCATCCGCATACTAAAGATGGGAAATTACAATTTCAAAGTTAGGGATCGAGAACTCCAAAAAATACCTAAGATTTTCCATCGTGCTAAGCATAAGACTAAAGCACTTAGCATATATTGTTAACAAAAAACGGGACAACGAATCTCCATGCCGCAACCCTCTAGAAGCACTAAAAAAACCAATCGAGGCTCCCTTTGAATAAAGCAGAGAAGTGCGTCGAAGACAAACATCCCTTAATCCAATACCGCCATTTATCACTGAAGCCCATAACTCTCATGATTTCTAGTAAAATACCCCATTCAACCCGATCATAAGCTTTCTCCATATTCAATTTTAACAAAATCCCCGGTTTCTTGCTAAGGACTCTAGAGTGAATACATTCTTGCTCTACAAGCACACTATCTGTGATTTGATGATCCTAAATAAATGCTGACTGAGTGCATGAAATAAGAGAAGGGAGAACAACCTTAAGTCTTTTAGCCAAAACTTTAGCAATGATTTTATAAAGACTGGTTAAAAGGTTGATCGGTCTAATATCAGAGAGACCAGAGATGGTGGCCTTTTTTGGAATCAAGGCCAAAAAAGTGAAGTTAATCTCTTTAAAAAATTTTCCCCTTGCCATAAAGATTTTCACAAACTCCAGCAGCTCTCCCTTAATAACATTCCAAAAACGAAAGAAAAAACGTAAAGGAAAGCCATCAGGACCTGGGGCTTTATCTCCAAGAAGGGCAAAAACAACTTTATGCAATTCCTCCATGGTAATCTGCCCTTTCTAACTTTGCTTTCATTTCCATAAACAGAACTTTGGAAAGAACTCTATTAAGAGAGGACGTCACCTTAACTTCTTTATTAA